TCCAAGAAGTTCACTATCAAGGCTGCATGTTTAGGAACGTGTTTTTGTTGGTTCGCTTGATTTGTAACTCAGTGACATTTAATCTAAGAGATTTTCCTCTCCGATTCTAGAAGCAATGGAAAAAAAATAATAACTTCACCGTGATCGTCGTAGAGATGGACAATCTATTGGTAATTTGCACGGCAGGGCAAGTTAATACACGCGTGTTCGTAATTTTGTCAGTTATAGAATAAACGAGTAATTTTTGTGAGCGCTGGCGCAATTTACACTCCTCATGATATTTGAAAATTCTTTTAAGTTGTCCTCGGCTAAAGGTCCTTGAAATTTTAAATTTCACCCGCAGTGTAAACTCTTAATTTCACTCGCATTTAAGCAATTACTTATACCCACAAGCAAAAAAACAAATTAATCCCTTGTTGATGTCATTGTTTACACTTTTCCTCATCAACATACTACTTTACGCAGATAAGGAATCACGAGAGACAGGAATTGATTAGAAACCTTTAAAAAGCTTGTGAACCTTAGTAATTGGTAAATATTTTGACTCTTTGGGTATAATATTCAAGGAGACACTGGTTTTCAAACCTGCAAAAATTTCTTGTTGGCAAAAGAGCCCATACATTCTTTGCGAAATTTTGAGTTTTTAAATCCACGTCGCACAAAAAGTATCCAATTCATCGGGCTCAAATTCCTTGGGACGGTTAATCGTGCTGTGGCCTTTCAAAATTCAGAACTAATGTTTTTTTAACTCCAGCAAAAACTGTGGCTAATGAGCAAATATTGTAAACAAAGATTGTCCTATTGTATCGCGTTAACAGTCTTAACGTTGCTTCGGTGACGATAAAGGATGAGACATCTTGCTCCAATACTTAATTCCGGTTTAGCGTGAAGCCAAAATCATAAAAATCATTCGTGATATTTGGGCTGTTTGCGCCATTAACCTTTTGCTTATACAAATTCCTGCTGGTGGTATTAAGTGGAATTTGCCTTAATTGTCTACTTTCAGGATTGCACAAATGTTATTGTTTAGTTGTTTTAGGGATGAAGAGCATCAAATTGCTATTTAT